ACTTTGATAATTTTAAATTAAAAAAAAAAAAAAAAAAAAAAAAAAAAGTTGTATGCTACTTTTCCACCGCTAAATGCCACTTTAGTCCTTTTTTTATTTTATTTATTTATTGACTTTGAATGTCAAAGTTGATGTCACATTATGTGAATGTTGTTTCGAGTTTCATGGCTTTTAGTTTTTGACATAATTTTTTCTTGTATTTATTATTTTGCATGTTAATAATGTAGTTAATCTTCTTTTTGTTTTTTTTTCTGAAAATTCAAACATATTTGCTGTAAATATTCAAATTTCAAATAATTTGTTTGGCCACATAAAATTATAAGGTTAGATAAATAAAATATTGGGCAAACGGTAAGTAAAAAAAAAAAAAACTTTTCTATCATTTTTTTTTCTTCTAGAAACCGTCATTTATAGCATTCTACTTTGTAAAAATGTTTTTGTTGTCAAAACCCACATACAAAAGGAAAAAACCCAAACAAAAATGACTCGTCCATACTAGAATTGAGGACAGATATCAATTTGATTTTGTTTGTAATCCAAGCATTAAGTAGAGACCGGCAATTACATTCCTTCTCACGCAATGCTACCTACTTATTAGCAAATAAAATTGCCATTTAATCAAAGGGTTATAGGTAACCATTAAATCTATGTAGATAGGTTTAATTTGGGAAAAAAAATGGACAAAAAAGATAAATTTTCTAGAACTAGACCTTAAATACATGGGGTTTTGTGTAATTTTCCTGTAAAAATTTAGGAGCAAAAGCCGTATTTTGAGGTGATTTTCCTTGGTTAAGAAAGAAGAAAGAAAATATTGGACTTGCTTTTCTAAAAAGGCGACTTATATTAATTTCTTCCAAAAAATATATATTAATAGCAAGAAACGAATAACTTTACCACTTGTTTTTATTCAATAATATTTAAATAATTCAAACTATTAATGTATATATTCCGCTTGCCAAAATAAAAACAAAATGCCCCCATTTAACATTTGATGAAATAAAACCACTATATTAAAAACCAATTAACAAAAAATCTCAATTAGTAAAACCAAATAATGAAATTGCAAACATCGTAAACGTATGTTATATGCAACACTCACCGTAAGACAATTTCAGTCTAGGTGATCATATATTCATTATTATAAATTATAAATTTTACAGTTATAGGAGAATATAATTTTTATAATTAATGGTAGCGATGTCCAATATTCAGATAAAATCAGATTCTTCAACCATACAAGTTGAATTTAACTACATAGTTAGGAAATTAAGTTTTTTGAATGATGTCCAAACAACCCGAATTATTATTTTGCATTGGTTTTAACTTATAAGATAAAAATTAAATTGTCCAAAAAATAAAATGAAAATTTGAATAACGATTTGTTAATTACAGAAAAAAAAAAAAAAAAAAAAAAAAAAAAAAAAAAAAAAAGAATTGCAGTTTCCATCTTCGCATCTTTATCAACCACTATTCCCCTATAATCGAATTTTAAAACTCAATGGTTTCTTCTTGATATTGTGTTGAGACAAAATTGCAAAAATGGTCCCCGTGGTTTCTTATTTTATGTGGTTATGGTCCAAACGTTTGAAAAGTTGCAGATTTGGTCCTTTTCAACAAGTTTTATTGTGGTTTTGGTCCCTCATCCGTTAAGTTTAACTGGTTGGCTGTTAACTTTTTTAAAATGATAATTTTACCCAGGAACCATTTTCGCAATTTTGTCATATACCATAACATAAGGACCATTTTTGCATACATTCTTTTTTATTTTATTGAAGTATTATATTTTAATAAATATTATTATTAATATATAATATTATATACTAACAAACATTGTTTTATTGGATTATTAATTTATTATAGTTGATTTTTTTTTTTGATTTTTTTTGTTAGAGTAATTCTTTTTATTGAGTTATTATATATCAATACATATAGTTTTTAATATATAATATTTATATCATAATAATAAATATTATATTATTGGATTATTAATTTCTTTTAGTTAATATTTTTAATTCTTTTTTTTTAATTATTTTTATTGGATTATTTCTTTTATTTCTTTTAATTTATTATTTTCTTCATATACTAAATATTGTTTTATTGGATTATTAATTTATTTTACCTAATTCTTTTTTGGAAAAAAATTGTCAATGTAATTATTTTTTATTGAATTATTATATATCAACATATATAGTTTTTAATATATAATATTTATATCATAATAAATATTATATTATTGGATTATTATTATCTTTTAGTTATTTTTTGTAATTTGTTTTTTTTTTTAATATTTTTTGTTGGATTATTACTTTTAATTTATTATTTTCTTCATATACTAAATATTATTTTATCGGATTATAATAGTAGTTCTTGTTAATTTTATTGGTTCCACCACAAAGTCATGGGATACGCAAAATCTTGGTCTCTCATCATCGAAATCGTTAGGATCGTTGCCAAACACTTTCATTTCATCTACCTTATAATGAGAAACCATTGGGAAAATACCACCACCATCACTCGGTCACCACCACCACTTATAAATGTTATCGGTGTTTGTTGCGCATTATGTGGGATATGAATGATTCCAATGGATTATGAAGAAGTTGTCGCAGGTGGCTACGAACAACGCTGGGTGGAATAAGGTATAGTATCTATTGAACCTCCGATGAAGGTGTTTGGAGGTGATCCAGCTATTTTTTGATGATGATAATCGACACTTTTACATATTTCGGCGATTTTGTGGTGGAACTAATAAAATTAAAAACAATTAATAGTATACATTCAAAATAAAACAATAATCCAATAAGATAGTATTTATTATATTAAAATTATAATAAATAAAAAGTAATATTTCAATAAATTAATAATTCAAAAAAAAATTACAAAAATTAATAATCCAATAATGTATTATTTATTATGATGCAAATATTATATATTAAAAATAATATTTGTTGATATATAATAATCTAATAAAAAATGATAAAAAGAATCAACTAAAACAAATTAATAATCCAATAAAATAATGTTTCGTAAAATGTAATAATCTCATAACATAATATTTATTATGATATAAATATTATATATAAAAAAAACTATATGTACTGATATATAATAATTCAATAAAAAGAATTACTTCGATAAAAAAATTTAAAAAAATAATTAGCTAAAATAAATTAATAATCCAATAAAACAACATTTAGTATATGAAGAAAATAATAAATTGAACGTAATAATACAATAAAAAATAATTAAAATTACAAAATTTAACTAAAAAAATTGATAATCCAAATATTTATTATGATATAAATATTATATATTAAAAACTATATGTATTGATATATAATATTTATATGTATTAATATAGTATACATTTCTTTTTGACTCTTTTAGTTGACTCTTTTTATCATTTCTTTTTGTTTGAGCAATTTTTTTATTAGATTATTATATATCAACAAATATTATTTTTAATATATAATATTTGCATCATAATAAATAATACATTATTGGATTATTAATTTTTGTAATTTTTTTTACGAAACTATATGTATTGATACATAATATTTGCATCATATATAATTTTTGTAATAATGCAAATATTATATATTAAAAACATTATTTTACGAAACTATATGTATTGATACATAATATTATATATCAATATTTATATCATAATATTTATATATTAAAAACTATATTTATATTAAAGTCGCATAAATATTATATATTAAAATACTATATATGTATTGATATATAATAAATATTTTAATATATAATATATATATTGAAAACTATATGTATTGATATATGTATTGATATATAGTATTTATATAATGTTTATTATGATATAAATAATTTAATACATTCAAAAAAATGGTCCCTGTGTTTGGCAAAATTATGCGACTTTGGTCCAAAACGATAGTTTGATGCACCACTGGTCCAAAATTGGATTTTTCCATTGTTTTTGGTCCCTCCCATTCACTTCCGTCCATATACTCCGTTACATGCAATAAAGACCAGGGTATTTTCGTCTTTCCACATACAAGGACCTTTTTTGCAACCTTATTCAAAATAAAAGCAGAGCTACATCACTCTTCCTTCTTCAACTTCACGAGCTTCATAGTCTTCCTACTCTGTGTTCACAATTTCTTAGAGATCAAAAATTAAAATGGTGATGTGTTTCTGTGGTAGGGAAGCGGTGGTTCGCACCTCCTGGACATCAGCAAACCCTGGTCGGAGGTTTCTTTCCTGCCCTCAAAAGGTAAGTGTTCGATTTTGCTATTTTACCCTCATTTTGGAAAATCACCCTCATGTTTAGGGTTTATTTTTTTATGTGAAGGGTTCCAGATGCCGATTCTTAGGATGGATTGATCCTCCCATGTGTGCACGATCTATGTTGATAATACCCGGATTATTGAGGAATATCAACAATGTAAACTATCAAGTGGCAAGATTGAAGATGTGTTTGTTTGCAAGTTGGTTACTATTTGTGGTGGTTTGGGTGCTTTTCATTTAGTAATAAGCAATTAGGGACCCCTGTAGTTGCATGTAATTTTTGGGTGTTTTTTGTCTTATGAAATTGTAACTAGGGAATGTGGTAGTTTTTGGTATTTGATAATGTAATATCAGTTTAGGGTTATTTTGGACAACTTCAGAAATTTGTAACCTTTTCAAGGATATAATGACAATGTATTGCAGTTATCACCGAATGTTAATGTATATTTGTTGTTTCAGAAAACAGTTCTTATAACCAAAAATGTGTTCCATAAACATGACAACCAACAGTTGGTATAAACCATAAACATCATTCTTCAACAATGACAAAAGGTTGACATTAGTTTCATGACCAAAAGGGCTAAAAGACCAAAATAAAACCATTACAACAAACTAGTTTTAAACCATTACATCCAAATGCACAAAAGTTGTGCTAAACCAAAAGATAAGTTTTTAAACAAAATACACTAATTCCTGCATTGACTGCTACCTCCATTCCCTCCTTGACTGCATCATGCATTCCCTCCTTGACTGCTTCCTGCATTCCCTCCTTCATTTCTTCCTGCATTCCCACCTTGACCCTTGCACGTCCTTGAGTTATGACCCCTATTGTTGCATTTCCCACACCTAACACTAACAAACTTTCTGGTAAGTTTTTCAGGTTCACCTGCACCATGATTTTGCATCTGTTTATCATATTTTTCATCTGCACTTCTCTTTCTCTTGGTGTTAGGTCTCCCAGGTTGATTGTGATGTGGTGGTGGTGTTAATTGAAATGGACAGGTACTTTTTGGCCACATGGCTCTACCCTTTATAGGGTCCACAGTGTAAGAGTAAGCTTCATTCCATGTTTGAAGCCAATACACTTTGTTAACATAAGTGTAAAGCTCCCCAACTTTGTCTCCACTATCAGCCATTTCATGTATTGTAGCTATGGCATGCCTGCATGGAATCCCATTCAATTCCCACCTTCTACATGTACATGACATATTTTCATGTCAACCACATGCTGGTCATGCCAAGGACCATAAACTTCATACTTTGCAGTCCCATTCCATCTAGCTCTATATTGGACTGAAGCTTCCCTATTTCTCTCAAGTAACTTTGATGCTGTTGGAGTGAGTGGACCTGGAGCTTTGGACATCACTTTCTTCACATTGCAAATCCTCTTCATAAGGTACTGCCTGATGTACTCAAGACAACTTATGATGGGCTTATTCCTACCATGAATAAGCTTACTGTTGAAAACCTCACATAAATTGTTGAGCAATATATCTGATCCTGCTCTGCCTGTATTAAACAAGAAAATTATATGAACTAAACCATATACAATGAGCACTAGTAAAGCTTCACCTAAGTTAGGGAATGTAACCTGAAAAGTGGCTTCTGGCCCAATGGTGAGGGGGGATTTTCTTCAACCACTCAAAAGCATCCTTATCAAACTTGTTAAGTTCATTCATGTAGTGTTCAAATTCTGGTACTGTGGTTGCTATTGCACACTGCCATAAGTGATCTTTATACTCTTTTGTTTTCCATTTTTTCCTCATGTTCTCATAAATATGTCTTAGACAGAATCGATGCTCAGCCTGTGGGTATAGTTGTGCTATAGCAGGTAAGAGTCCCTGTAAAGGATTATTTCACATAATCATTGCAACAATCATATACAAATAAACTATTAGTAATACAAAAAGAAGAAAATAGTACCTTTTGTCTATCACTCATGAAAGTAAAGTTAGAATTTGAGCACAACTCTAAGTCATCTCCCAAGCATTCTAGAAACCATTTCCAGCTACTCATATTTTCAGTCTCAACAATGGCATATGCAAGTGGGTATATGCCGTTGTTTGAATCCAATCCAACTGCTGTGAGTACTTGGCCTGGAAAGGGTCCTTTCATAAAAGCACCATCTAGTCCCAGAATATCTCTTAAACCTGCTTTAAACCCTTTCTTTAATGCCCCTAAGCAAATATACACCCTTTTAAACTGCCTTGTTTCTCTAGTACTGTTAGGCTCATTAACAACCTCAAGCTTCACAGTTGTACCCACATTAGTTGCTTGTAGTTCCATAAGATAATCTCTTAACACCTCGTATTGCTTTGTGTAGTCACCACTCACTTGCTTTGTAGCTGTTGCTTTTGCTCTCTGTACTTTGTGTATGGACACACCAACTTGAAGCCTCTTCTGAACTTGCTCTTGAATGCTTCGAAGGGGTACTGTAGGGTTAGACTCGACCATGTCTAAGATTTCTGCAGATATATACTTCGCAGTGCAAGCCCTAAGTTTTCTAGTTTGAACACAAGTATGTTTGTCCAGTAAAGTTTTCACATACCAATAATCACTATCTTTTGACCGTGAAGTCTGCATTGACCAAGAACAATTTAATTTATTGCCCTTACCTACCCCACTTGCATTTACATTAGGTACATTACCTTTACACACAACCCTAAGCCTTGTTTTGTCGTTTTTCTTGAAGCCAAGATTCCTTCTAGTCTCAATGGCAAGTTTGTTGACTTTGTTCTTAATTTCCTTTTTACTTTTATACTTTTGACCCACTTGAAAAGTAACTGTATGGACTTCACCAAGAGAGCACTTCTTCTCCTTCACCATCTGTTTTAATATTGCTTTCCTTCTTTCATCATCACTATCTTCACCTAATGAGTCCCATTCATCATTATCAATTACTTCAACATCTTCAACATCTTCTGTATCAACAACTTCATTTTCAGTCTCAACACCTTTTCCTCTGTCAACATATTCAACATCTAGATCAACATTCATATAGAAATCACTCATGTCCACCTCAATATCACTTACATAGTTTTCTTCATCTTCAAGAAAATCACTGTCTTCCTCACTCCCTTCACTACCCCTTCACTACCTCCTTCACCAAGTCCTTCACAAACTCCCTCACTTTCAAATTGAACTTCCCCTAGTCCTGTGCCAAGTTCTGCACCAACACCCATACTCTGATCATTACCATCATTAAAAGTATATTGATCAAAGAAAGGATCAAAGTCTTCAAATTGAAATGGTTGGTCATCAAAGGTATCAAACTCTCTTGTATTTACTTCTTGGTCACCAACATTTGCACCTTGATCATGAACTTCTGTATCTTGATTACCAACAGCTGCACCTTGATCACTAACATTTGCTCCTTCATTACCAATTTCAACATGTGTATCTTGACCACTAACAGTTGCACCTTGCTCACTAATATTTGCACCTTCATTACCAATTTCAACATGTGCATCTTGATCACCAACAGTTGCAGTGTGTTCCAAGTTGAAACACAATTTCTTACTACATGATTGACTCCCATCAACTAACCTCAATCTCTTATTTGAATTGTATTCGGGTGTCTCATATCTTACTAAACACAATTCAAGATTTGGGACATCTTGATCACCAACAGTTGCAGTGGGCACATCATCTGCTATTTCCTCAATTATGACCCTAGGTTTAACTCTTGGAGACATAAAGTATGTAAGTAACTTAGTTTCATTATGTTCAGTGTATACCTTGATGATCTTATGATGTTCAATGTACTGTGCAAGACTAAGTACATCAATATCATTCCCTAGAGCTCTAAGACCAAACTCCAAATCTCCATTTGGCAATTGATAGTGGTAGTAAATGACTGGTGGTACATCATAACCAAGCTTCAGCATCACCTCGTCCAACTCATGCACAGAGAACTCATCCATGTCTACCAAGTCAATGTGGTCTAATTTTCCTTCAATGTAGCTTATCCCTGGGAATTTTGTGAACCTCCCTCCATGATGGAGCTCAATAGTGAACATCGTGGGATATCCTTCTGTAAAAATCATGAACCAAACCAAAAAAACATTACTTTATATGGATTGTAAAAGATTTTTTTTTGTTTCAAAGAAATATGTAAGAAACAGAGTACGTTACCGTAAATTCGGATTGCATCAAAACACTGATTTCTTGGCCTGATTTCCCACATTTGGACCATCCTCGTGGATTCAAACTTACGATTGCGGTTGATGATCAAATGCAAGATTTCAATGAACGATTAGGGTTTTCGATCAACAAGTTGGGTTTAGTGCGTAGAGTAGAGTGAAGGGTCATTAACTGTGTATATCATTCAATATGGCGGTAATCGATGATATGGAGGTGGAAAGACGAAAATACCCCGGTCTTTATTGTATGTAACGGAGTATATGGACGGAAGTGAATGGGAGGGACCAAAAACAATGGAAAAATCCAATTTTGGACCAGTGGTGCATCAAACTATCGTTTTGGACCAAAGTCGCATAATTTTGCCAAACACAGGGACCATTTTTGCAATTTTGTCATATAATACTATATATTAATAAATATTTTTTATTGGATTATTAATTTATTTTAGTTGATTTAAAAAAAAAAATTGTTGGAGTAATTTTTTTTATTAAATTACTATATATCAATACATATAGTTTTTAATATATAATATTTATATCATAATAAATATTTGGATTATCAATTTTTTTAGTTAAATTTTGTAATTTTAATTATTTTTTATTGTATTATTACGTTCAATTTATTATTTTCTTCATATACTAAATGTTGTTTTATTGGATTATTATTTTATTTTAGCTAATTATTTTTTAAAATTTTTTTATCGAAGTAATTCTTTTTATTGAATTATTATATATCAGTACATATAGTTTTTTTATATATAATATTTATATCATAATAAATATTATGTTATGAGATTATTACATTTTACGAAACATTATTTTATTGGATTATTAATTTGTTTTAGTTGACTCTTTTTATCATTTCTTTTTGTTTGAGCAATTTTTTTATTAGATTATTATATATCAACAAATATTATTTTTAATATATAATATTTGCATCATAATAAATAATACATTATTGGATTATTAATTTTTGTAATTTTTTTTGAATTATTAATTTATTGAAATATTACTTTTTATTTATTGTAATTTTAATATAATAAATACTATCTTATTGGATTATTGTTTTATTTTGAATGTATACTATTAATTGTTTTTAATTTTATTAATTCCACCACAAAATCGCCGAAATATGTAAAAGTGTCGATTATCATCATCAAAAATTAGCTGGATCACCTTCAAACACCTTCATCGGAGGTTCAATAGATACTATACCTTATTCCACCCAGCGTTGTTCGTAGCCACCTGCGACAACTTCTTCATAATCCACTGGAATTCTTCATATCCCACATAATGCGCAACAAACACCGATAACATTTATAAGTGGTTTTGAGTCCAATTGTTCCTCTCCATTTAAGAAACACCTTTGCATAAAACTAATTGGATTTAACAAAAGAAATTAACAAAAAATTAAACAAAAACAAATGGGTACAAAACAATGGTTCATTGGGCTTTTCATAACATGAGTTTGCATAATTGGCTTCTTTCAAAAAAAAAAAAATTTGTTTGGTTCTATAGGACCTACATTGGGCTTTTTAGCATAATTAATGAGATCTAAGCCCAACTAGATCGGTTGGTTTTTTTATCTTCTGCTTACTAGCTGATTGGAAAAAGAAAGCAAAAATATGTGATGCCTCTTAAAATAAATTAGTTATTAAAAGACTTTTATCTAGTCATGAACTTTGTTTAGTAGTACTTTCTACCTAAGTCAAAAAGGTTAGTGATTTTGTAAGTTTTGAGGATTATAAAATGCCTCTATAATGACTACAATTAGATTTGTATTAAAACCAAAGCCCAAACTAAATTCATGTTGCAATTTACTAAATTGGGTATTTCAGGTTTGATTTGTGATTTATGCCCATAGATACCAAATAATTTAGTAATAATAATTGTTGGTTGAATATTTAAATACAAAAAGGAAATGTGAACTAATTTTAAAACCCCAATTGGTCGAATAAAACACCTCCAGGGTATTCAAACAAATATTGTGGAACACTTTATGTTAATTATTTCGAGATGCGAGGATCAATACCCAAATAAACCGAACAAACTTTTTGGCCGAGAATTTATTGTGACTAGTTTCGTGTGATATTGTTATTGCTTGCATGTATAGACTTCTATTTTGTGATGTTTGGGCTTTATTTTCTTATGTAGGATGTTTTCTCTCTCTCTCTCTCTCTCTCTCTCTCTCTCTCTCTCTCTCTCTCTCTCTCTCTCTCTCTCTCTCTCATACCATGTGAATTAAAACTTGTATCTTAGTTGTTTTGTATGTTTTTTAATTGAGTGAGTTGGGAAAGATAATGTTTCATGTGTTGTGGGTTGAGAAATATGGAAGAGAAAGGAGAAAAATGATGTTGTAATGGGTTGAACGAGTTTTGGAGAGAATGACTACCTCTTCCTTTAAAATGTTGTCATTTTAACTTTTAAGTTTTAAGTTTTCAAAATATAGAAGTATATCATGTGGATATGAAGTTAAGCTTCTAAACTAAGATTTATAAGTATAAATATGCATAGAACTATCTTCCTAATGTTTGTATTTTCTTATGGAAAGAAGCAAAAGTGTGTAAACTTATGAAGCTAGTATTTCACTTAAGCAAACTCTAAAATAGATGCATCAAAAATTTGAATACTATATGATGGAGTACATATCTAACACCAATGAATGTCATAAATTGGATCCATATAAATTAAATGTTAATGCCTTATTCCATTTTATAGCTATGTTATTGATGAGTTATTTAGGTTACAACAACAATGCTTAAAAGGGAAAATACGTAACAATTAAGAATTTAGGCATATGCAACCTAAATGGGTCTATTTCATTCACATAAAGGCAACATACTTTGAATTAAACAAAACTATTATAACCCTCATGAATTTGAAATTCATAAGGGGAAGTTACATGTCTTTTGATTTGTTGTATCTAACAAATCAAACCAATATTTCTTCAAAAACCATTGGAAGCAAGCACCATAAGTTTTGCACCTCTGGTTGTTCACTTCCAAACCCAGACAACTAAGGAACTTGAAGAGAGGGGAAATGGGAGGCAATTTTCGGCTATCCTTCTAAAGGTATGAATGGACAAAAATATGAAGGCATGACTTATTTATAGTTGCACTAAACCCTAATTTGAATATAATATTATTATTTCAAATTAGGTAATTATCTTTTTTTTCCTATTTATCTTCAACGAATATTTCTGATACCTAGAAGATGCTTCCAAAACCATCCAAACCCTAGGAAGGTTTTGAAATGTCTTTTGTTCAAATATTAAAAAATTACAACTTAGGTCATTACACTTTTAATTAATCCAATTAATCATAATTAATTTATGATTAATTTTAAATTAAATAATAGTATTTATAATTAGTATATTATTCTCATAATATATTAAGAAATTGTTTATTGCTATTAATTAATCATGTAATAAATCGATAAATCAGTCTCTCTTTCTCTAAAAGTCATCATTTCCAATTATCAGGTTTGAGGGCAATCCAAAAGGACTTTGCTAACAGTTTAAGTATATACAAATTTAGTTATTGGCTTAGACACCTAATCCAACAGTCTCCCACTTGGATAAGTCTGTAACTAAAATTGCCAATATAACTTCTAAATTAAATAGCAAAGGATGCTTCCTAAAGCAAATCTAATCTCTGATCTGATCAAACATTAATCTTAAGATAAGTGATCAATATTCATTCATTCTACAAGATATCATATCGACACGAGACACCGATTAGAATCAATCTCATTGCCCAAAATTAAGTTTCCCAATTTCCCAATTTGTGATGATGTCATAAAACTTCTAATTGAACGCATCAATTCAGTCCTGGCTAGGCTCAACACTATAAATCAACACCAAATCACCGATGGGCCCGAAGATATTGCTTTTCTGGTTAAGGCAAAATAAACGAATAAACTTTGACTCATATGTTTGTATCCTTTACTTACCAAATCATACATACCACTACGTTTTATAACATCAAGTTACTGATGCGTTTTCGCAATACCAATATACAACTAACTTGTAAAATTACAACTCATATATCTTTCTTTTAAGAATATAAGATATTACCATCTCAGAATTACCCCGTGATAGAATCCATAAAGTAATTCTTTGAGCGTGGGTTTATCCAATACTCAAAATCTCCATTATTCTAAGAACTCATGAATGTTATAGCAACACCATTGCTATGTGTAATCTCCATACAATCCCATTCATGATAGTCTTCATTCACTACTTACTTCCAAAATTATGAGCGACTATGAAGTTTAAAAGAATCAAATCATTCAGGAAGTAAAACATGCAAATCGAAACATAAGAATAAATAATTGAAAAAGGCGATAAACAAACTCATAAATAATCTCTCTTATTTAATCACCAAAATAAATTACATTTATTTTGTTACAAGTTTCAAACTAACCATCTAACCACTAAAACTAACATCATCTCTTAAACCAATGCTCCTAGCATGTTGACTATGTTTAACCCTACTTAGAGCCTTCGTGAAAGGATCTGCAAGATTGTCTTATGATGACTCTCTATTTACTATTAGATGACCTTATTTAACTTTATGTCTGATGTAATTGTACTTTCTATCGATATGTTTGTATTTACCATAATCTTTCAGTTCTATGGTCAAAGCAATTGTTCCTTCTTTATCGCAGAAAACTTCAATTGGCTCTTGAATGGTCCTAACTACTCCAAGATCGCCTATAAAGTTCTTTAACCAATCCACTTCCTTTAGTGCATCACTTGTTGCTATATACTCGGATTCACACGTAGAATCAGCCACCATGTCCAGCTTGGAACTTTTCCATGTGACTGCTCCTCTATTTAATAGAAACACCCAACCAAATTGAGAATGAAGATTGTCTCTATCTGTTTGAAAGTTGGCGTCACTATACCCACTTAGTCTCAATGTATCACTACCACCAAGGATTAGAACCAAGTCCTTTGTCCTTCGTAGATACTTGAGTATGTTCTTCATTGCTATCCAATGAGCTCTGATAGGATTTTCCTAAAAGAGTCTAACCATGCTCAAGGAAAAATACACATCAAGGCGAGTACATGTCATAGTGTACATAATCGATCCTACAAATGAAGCATATGGGACCCAATTCATTTCCACTCTCTCTTCATCGGTATTAGGGCTTTGAGTCTTACTCAACCCGGTATTTCTCTAAATAGGTAGCTCTCCTTTCTTGGAATTTTCATACTAAAATGT